TGTGGTAGAAAATTTGAATATAATTTTCATATTTTTTTAATAAAATTGAAATTGAAATTTTCATATCTACCCAAACCCCAACAGTATTTTCCATCACTTTAAGGGTACCATACTTATCGATGGCGAGGATAGAGAAAAATCTTTTCATCATGCATACACCTAAGCTCATTATAATGTTTTTATGCATTCACCTCAGGTGAAAAGTAGAATGCATTTCGTATCTACTTTACTGCATAAACTTATCCTAATCTCCTTTTAATGTTGAAAAGTGCAAATGTTTGCAGGTGCACGTATCATCATCCTTACAGAAAAGTGTGACTTGCATTTTTTTCGGGTAAAACAGAAACTTATCAACTGCAGCAAAACAACTCTTTGCACTATACCATAAAAAGTAGCTTATAACAAAGTGAACCCAGAATCTTCAAAATTTATATAGAAACGTGCCGGTATTACCAAAACCACTACAACCCCTTTAAAGAGAATTATATATGCCATAAATAATTTACAGATATTCGATAATACTGTGACTTTTTATACAGGGAACTTGCCAGGAACACCATAAAAAAAATTTAATGTGTCTGCATTTCATAAATAAATTGCAAATATTCGATACTACTGTGGCTTTTTGTAAAAGACTTACCAGGAATGCTAAAATAAAAACAAGAAGAAATATAAAATTCTACTGCATTTCATAATTAATTTTCCGATATTCCATTTATGCATTTTTATATGGAACACCCACCTGGAGTACCAAAATCACTGCAGATATTTGATAATTTTGTAGATAATATATTATGTTCAGATAATATATTTTTCATTTAATATTTCTACATAATTCTCCCTCATCTTCTATAATTTTACCTTAACCTTAAGTTGGAGTAAATGGGTATAATATATTCGCTTCCTTTATAAATAGTTGCTGTGATAAACTTAGCATCGAAATTTTCGTTTTAACCTTCCAAACACATTTCCAAGTACTTGACACTCACCGTTCACATTCTACGGTAACATCAAGTCCACTTCAGTGAATATGTGGCACTTGTACATAAACGAAAATCTGGTTTGTATGTTGCATGTAACGGTTCCAAGAAATTACATAACTTTCACCTCATACTCGTACCTCTGAAATGCAATTGCATGACTTTACCTGCTGTTATTTTCATGTCGTTAAAATTTATGTAACAAAATTCAATGACATTTTGGTTTTTTTTTTGTTTTATATTTGACTCAAATAAATTTAAAACCAAAACACAGTAACGATAAACATAAAAGAAAATTGAAATTGTGTCAAAAATTTAAAATATTGACAGTATTCACATGCTTTCTTAAAGACAAAGGGACCGCCGAAATACTTAGCCCAACTTAGTAGTACTGTCCATGTCAACAAAATAGATTACTTGCAATAAGAAGTTCATATTTCACAACCACGAACTACGAATTTACGAGTATATATGAGGAATATAGCCTGTATGTTATTCTAATAACTCTTAACAGCTCTTCCATTCGAATAAAAGTCTGCATGTCCTCCTTTGAGGTTATCCATATATTAATCAGAAATAAAATCCTTTAGTATTTTATTCTAACATTTATCGAATCTAGGTATTACAAGGGACGATAGCTACAGACTTTGTCACGAAGACGAGGAAACAGCAGAACACATTCTGTGTCACTGTAATAGTCTTTTCAAACTCAGACTTTGGTACTAATCAACTGCATATCCACTTAAGACGGCAATGTGCAATATCTCTCCAAAGAACATAATGGCATTTTTAACTGCTACGTGATTATGAAATTAAATTGGGTTTGTCACAATAATCCTCAAAAGATGCAGTGCTGTGCTGACATGGGTAAAGTTTCAAGATGTATCTATCTATTTTGTTCCCTACACCTCTAGCACTACAACCATAAGTACATACCCGTATTTTATAATCTAAACTAATCTTAATTAATTACTTAAAAGAATAAAAGTTTGAATGTCTTCTTCTGATATTATCCAAACATCAGAAAGAGATAAAATTTTCAGTACTCTATTTCTGACTCAGTTTATGGATGGGCCATATAACTAGAAATCTCATGCCCTACCAAGCAAAGACAACTTTTATCTCTTTAAACAAGCAATATAACCTACAAATCTGCTCCCCTATTAAGCAAAGAGAACATTTTATGTCTTCAACTTTATATATTCTCCACTTTTTTTCAAATGGCTATGAAGATTAACATTACTCATTGGGTAACCTGCCAGCAATCTCAATACTACTCTACTAAGAATAAACTGAGGTGTCTCTCTGTAAATATTCAATTTTTAATCAAGTAATTAGTTGTGAAGTAACTAATGAAGTTTACGATTGGTAAATCATGATTTAATCTAGATTTACTTTGGATCTGTCAAATTTTGTTGACTGATCGAACGTTTTTAGAGTAATCTAGCATTTTTATAGTGATAAAACATTTATAGTCTCCATAAATAAATATATCGAATCAAATCGCGCTATATTTGTCAAATCATATAAAATAGCTATTATTTTCAGGGTAATCTTGCTACTCTGGCAAAACATATAGTTTGAATTAAATTGGGAGTATTATGCATTTCACATGAGATTTACCAATCGAAAATGAAAATTGCACTTAAAGAAAGTTTCTATTAAAAAAACTACCCCAGATTTACCAATCGAAAGCAGCATAAAAATCAATTTAAAATTAGTGCCGTTATGTATCATAAAACTGCTAAGTCTAACATTTTTTTTCATAAATCTATTCAACTAATGACTTTATTGGTATTATGGGGTTAACAGGAAAGTGATATTTTCCAATTTTTAATAGAAAGATAATATCCAATAATTGCATGTTTTAATTGCTAGCGAAACAATTTAAAATGGTCTTTGTTTTAAGCTTCTTTTTTAAGAAGCTAATTCCTGATTATTTTAACTAATAAAAAAGTAATTATCCTTAACCTATACCGCTCCTTATAATGTTCTTGGAGTCGTTACTGCCAAGCCTATTATCAATGATGGACGCCAAGTCATCTCAAAACAGTTTTCATCTTATCAAACCAGTGGGATCGTGAACTTATTATAATTTATTTCTAAATTCTTTTAAATTGGATTCTTGAAATTTCATTTATAATTTTATGAGAAGTCAGGATCAGAATAAATACTATTTATGTATAGTTTCAATCAGTTTAATGAATACTCTCCTAATTTTCCTAAAACAGTCGTCAATGCTAAAGAAAGTAATACACTTTGATATTGTTTTGTTTTATAAGATTATATATAAGATTTGACTATAAGAATAAGGTCTGAGCAGACATAATGTTCTATGTAGTTCTGAAGTATTAATTTCATTTTATGTAACTGACTCTAAAGTCACTAAATAAGTAAGAATCACTGCTGTTCTATATAAAATCAGATTGAGATATGAGAATATAGCATTTATGTATATAAAATAAAGTCTTTCAGATTGAATGCCACATTTTTAAATAAATAAATATTTAACTGTTTTTTTTTTTGTTTCTACTGTCATAGTATTCATAATTATTTGGGCTCGAAATGAATTTAAGAAAAAAAATTGTCAGAAATTCCATAGTAATATAATAATTTTGGAACATGTGTAATATATCCACATTATTAACATTCCTTAAATTTCATATCTACGAAAAAAGTGAGAGTAGCTGTCGTAAATATTAACATAAGTATCTTCATGCAAAAAATATAAAAAAGGTTTCGAAAAAAATCAACAACATGTTAATTGTCCCGGAAACCAAAAAAAAAATCTGTTAATTACAAACCACACAAAAATTTAGGTCGAATAAATGCGTCAACGTCGTCGAAACCCCTAAGCTGAGACTGAGAGCAGCAGCTCCTTAACAAGAAGAAAAAGCCAAAAGCCAAAAGCAAAGGCAATGCAAAAACAAAAACAAAATGCAATGTGAATAAGAGTAAAATTCACACCGTTGGATAAAGCCAAATTTAATGTTAATTTTTATTAAATGCTTGGACTTAAAACACCAAAGCAAGCGTATTATAAACGTATTAAACACAATAAAGAGAGTAAATAAGTTGCAGCATCTGCAGACGCCGAACAAAAAGAGAAAAAAATAAAAAATGTAATATGCAAGCTATAGTTTGTATGTTGAGGGCGTACACTGTCGCTGTCGATGTCGCTGCCGCAGCAGAAGCATTAATACAGAATTATTAATACGCTTTAATCAATGATGTCAATTGTTTTCGTTTTTCACATTATTTCATTATTTGCTAGCATTGCAGAGATATAACTGTGTAACAGACTCAGGAGTATTGTGCGCAGCAGCGCTGCTGCATGTGTAAATTATGAGACTGCGCAGCATATTTATTACTTACTTTGACTGATGTTTAACAAGCAAGCAGTGCCACAATTGGCTCAAAATAAAGTTTTTAATGCTTTTACTCTTATTTGATTTTTTTTCCTTTAGTTTGTTTTGTTGTTGTTGGTTTTTAGTTTTGTTGATTTTGCTTGTTGCTATTTTGTTTTTTTGGGGCATTTTTTATGATACTTACGTGCTTTTTAATGTGTGCGCTTGTTTGTTTATTGCCTTTGTTGGTTTACTCTGTAAACAGTATAGTTTTTATTTATGTTTTTTTTTTTTCGTTGACTACATTTCTTTGCTTTTGCTGCTGCTGCCCAACTTTGCTTATGTCGCCGCTCTCTGCCATTTTTATACAATTTTGGTTAAAATCATTTTGTAATTTTGTTTTTGTTTTTGTTTTTGTTTTTGTTTTTGGGCAACAGAGGCAGGCAGTAGCAGCGACAATAACAACAACAGCAATACGAACAGCATTAACAAAAGTTGTTATATTTTTGTTAATTTTAAGAAACTGAGTATAAAAGGGTGATCGTCTTGAGACAAGTACATCAAATTCATCTTAGCACTCTCAAGTGTGACACGCACTCGAAAAAGGATTTTAATAACGTACGGGATTTCTTATATCGTAAATACACGAGCTAATAACAAAAATTAAACGAAAATGAAAGTGTTCGCTATTGCCACCGTAAGCCTTTTGGTTGTCAGCTGCGTTTATGCTGCACCAAGTGTTCAAGATAACAAAATCGAAAGTGATAATACCTTTGCACGCGCCGCCAAATATTTGGGTTCCTGTTTCGAAAGTGACGATATGACCACTTGCTTAGCGGTTAAAGGAATTACCGCTTTGAATCGTGCCGCCAGGAGTAATAATATTGAATTAATGAATGGTGTCTCATTCACAAGGTGTGTGTTTTTGTGATATTTCAAAAAAACAATAAAACAAAAAACAAAAAAAACAATTGCAAATTAAATGATTTTAAATGTTAATTTAAACATAATTAAAATATTTAAAAATAAGTTAAAAATTTTCAAAAAATTGTGTAATATACAAAAACGAACAATTTTTTTCGTATAAAATAGAAAGTGTTATAAATTACGATATTAACTACTGAGACATTTAGTGTAAACCTATTGAGCCTAATTTTACGATATTGCAAAACAAAAATATGTGATTTAATTTATAATGAATTATTTTTATATATAATTGCATTTTTTTATAAACAAAATTATAATTTTTTATTAAAAGTGTATTTAAATCATACATTTTTATTGCATTATATTATGCTATATATGAATTCGTGTGGAAATTGGAATTAAAGTATTTAAATTACACCATCTAGTTGTTAAATGCCACACTTTTCGAAGTTTTATTTATGAAATAATTTAATGAATACCACAAATAATATTTGTTGAAAGATTTTCTTCACAAACACTTCACTTTTAGACTCATTATTCCATTTTAACTATTTAACCAAATAGTTTTGCTTGATATTTCTGCTAGCTATTTCAATACCGTAGCATTTATTTTATATAATAGTCATTTTTATTACATATTTTGCCATAAAATTAATGTTAATGAACCGTCATATTTACCATCAATTATACAATATGCAAGACCAATGAAAAACATTGACATTAGTCATTGCCATAGCTAAGCCGGCCGGACATAATACGATACTCTTATAGCAATATGTTTAAACCGGTTAAAAAAAATATTATCAATGAATTATTTTTTAGACTTACTCAATTTTACTATACATTTACAACAATTTCATAACAAGTTGTCTTATATGCATATTGTCCATTCATTCATTACAGAGATCCAGCCAGTCCAGTACAACGCAATGGCAAAGCCTTAAGTGAAAATGAAATTTATGCACAATTGCCAGCCAGTTCCGAGGAGCGTAGTGGTCGTTTGGTCGATATGGCAGTACAAACCGCTGCTGATTTCTTTGGTTCACACAATTTGGAAGTTAAAGTACCAGCTGAAGCTACACAAGAAGTAGCACGTGCACTTGATGAAGGTGAGCTTACACTATAATTCACACTTAAGTCACAAATAATTAATACATAATTAATTAAGACAATTTCACACTTAAAAATTTTTCACTTTTAACATTCTCCATTTTAACGCTCTCTTTCAAGGTCGCGGTAAATTGAAGAAAATGATGGGTCCACTTGCTCTTGCCATCGGTGCTAAGGTTGTTGCTTTGATCCCCATCTTACTCGGTGGTTTAGCTTTACTTACCACAAAAGCCATCATCGTTGCCAAGATCGCTCTGTTGCTTGCTTTAGTCGTAGGTGGCTCACGCTTCTTCAGCAGTTTCGGTAACAAATTCGGTGGTGCTCTTGGCGGTGGTTACAGCTCTAATGCCGGTTGGGCATCTGGCTCCAATGCCGGTTGGTCTTCAGGTGCTTCCTCAGCCTACCCATATGCACGTAGCATAAATGATGAAGCACAACAATTAGCCTATGCCGGTCAAGTACCCGCACAGTAAAGCACAAACGATTGCTGCAATTTGTTGCATAGGAAAAGATAATGCCAAAAATGTGCCTTCGTTTAAAATTAGTTTGTAGTAATTTATTAAAAACCAAACTTAATTTATTTTTATTATAAAAAAGTTTATTTATATAAAAATATTTTAAACCATTTAAGCTAATTTTGCATCTGAGTTAAGCATTTAAAAATAAATTATAACCACATCAAATCAAACAATACACAAACACCCCAATACTCCATCACATACATACCTACATAACAGTCAGAAATTATTTATTTAATTTATTAATATTTTAATTAAATTATTTATAAATATTTTTAATAAAAACCTCAATACGAACAAAAACCATGTACAAACCATAAGAGAAATGCGAACAAAGTAGTCAATAAAAATTATTGAAAATACATAAAAGAATTTTCTTTTTTCATATTTAAATTGAAAGATACCAGGATATCTGAGCCTCGAAGCACTTTACTACTGAAAATAATTAAAAAAAATAATTAAATATTTTTTTATTAAATGGAATTTATAGCAAAGATAGTTTCTTATTGTTTGGCTGTAAAAAATCTTCTTCCTCACGACATGCACAGCTGGTGGCTCACGGCCATTGCAATAACTTTCCAAATGACTCAGTGCATTCCACGAGTGACAAGCTCAAGTCACATTAAATTTAATTGCTACTCATTTGTCGGGAACACAATAATTTCTTAAATAATTTCATTTTAAATTGAAATTTTTAATTGCAGCTATAATCTTTTGAATTCTCACATAATTAGCGCCGCAGCGTGCTTCAGATACTTCTGAGATACTTTACCCAACGGTTACGAAGTGATAACCTATTTTCTGCCAACCAAATTAAGATTCGATTTAATAGTAGTAAATTATGCATTGAAATGTGGCCCTGACAAAGTTTCTTTGAAAAACTAAAAACTTTCTTCTGCAGTCATAAAGTGTCACTTTTGATACCAAAAACCAAACAAAAAAAAAACAAACAAAAAGTATCTAAGTATCTCAGCCAAAAACTAAAAAGTAGTGTGCGTACTCGTTTAAACACAGTTTTAATTTGGGTAATAAATTCCACTTGGAATGCTGCTTTCAGTGCACTGGTATTCTGGTTGGTCTAATGCTAATGGCTTAAGTACGTGTTTAAAATTTTTATTATAGGTTTTTCTAACAACACTCAATATTATTTATCATACAACACAGTGGGCACAAAGTCGAAACATTATGTTTTAAAATGGAATAAAAATAAATAAATAAGATAATTAAATAAAAATCTGAAGATCTTGGTTCTAAATAAGTTGTTAAGATAATTTTTATTAAAATCTTAACTACTAACGTCTCAACGAATCAATTAATCATTTAGTGAAACTCTCAACTTATTTGAAGCAAATATGTCAATAAAAGCTAGGAAAATTTTTTCTATTGAAAACATTTGCTAAGTAATAAAAACAGCGATTACTCGGAAAAACTTTCGGAATCTTTTTAAGTAAATTCTATTTTTAAGAGATTTCTATTATATTATTATTATCACTTCACAGAATTTTCATTGATGCACCCAAGGTGATTTTCTTTAAAGTTAGAACAGTTTAGAATGACTGACTGGGTCGAAAAATACTCAAAAGGATGAAATAAGTCCTTAATGTTATCACGTTGGAAAAAAAATATATTTATAAAGATAGCAGTGTTGCCAATTTAATGAAAATTGACACGTTTTTGCCGAATTGCAGCAGTCTGACAAATTATTTTTTCATGGCGTTAATTAAACCCGTGAGCCTTAAATCTCTTATATAGTTTTGCCTTAGTCTTATCAATGCTGCAAATTGACAGATAATATACTTCACTGTCTACCTTGAGTTCAATATTCTACATTTCCCACATATTTCGCTGTCGAGCAATCTCATTTTGAGAGCAAGTAACGATAGCAGACAATACCCTGTGAGTTTGTATGTTTTATGTTATATGACCTAAACATGGTAATGGCTCGCTTCTATTAAGCCCATGTTTGCATTTTTATTCTATATGTTTGCTCAAACATGCCCCGCTCCTGGATTTGTGTTACGGACTATAGAGGAATGTCTAATCAAGTAAATCTAAGAAGAAAGTTCTTAGCAGCTAAACTTTTTCATTGCTTTCATTATTTCATTGCTTTCTATACCCTTATGCATTCATTAAAATGCATTCAGTAGATCCGCACTTTTTTATTGTCTCTAGAATACACATCGCATTCCTGCATTCTACAAAGCTTTTTGATGTTGACATAAGCGGTATTATTACTTTAATTGCAGTCTTGATGTCAACATAACATATATATTTTTTATTACATGTGGAGCAAGTCTTTAGTGAGCCATCCATCTGGCATATTGCTAAGATCTCAGCTTAAAAAACGTTGCTGGGGTTGGAAAGCTTATATGACCCTTTCAACCCTAATTCGGTGCAGGAGGCTGTTGAGTCTCTTTCTTAATTTATATTTGATCGACATATGTAGACTTTAGTGTTGTTTTCCAACATATGTAGAGAATATAGCTAATTTATATTCAGGTGATTTGTAGTGATTGAAAAAATAGGCAACAACATGAACAGGGATACAACAAATACCCCGATGTCTCATCCGTAAATATCGGCAAACATTACCTACCAGAATTTCATCAGGGCATGCATACTCGTAGCTAAATGTTGCTCTATAATGATGTTCTCGAAAATGAATATAATTTAAAACATTTATATCTTCTTCCTCCAAAATGAATCTAAATTCAAGCATTTTATTTTACGGACCATGTCACCATTCACTTGCCTACGAAAGTAAATTTAAACCTATATTTATTGAACTGCCGCTAAAAAATCATCATAAGTCAGTTTTCGTCATGACAAGCAGGTACAGAAATTGATAAGTGCAATTCTATAGAAGAGACTTAGAGTCTCATCCCATGTCCTGCTATATTCGAATGACTGAAAACCTTAGTCGAAATTGTCTTTAGGCTGCTATCCAGTAAGCAAATAGTCTAAACTACATCTGAAAGCGTCCTTTTATTTGCGAAAGAACGAAAGCTCATTAAGAGAATTGTTAATTCCCTGAGAGTAAAACTGGACTATGTTGAATAAGCACAAATATAATGATTGCCGATATTTCTGTAAAAGTCTAAATGAAGTTGCAGACAAGCAGTTCGGCTGCCTATGTTGCACTAAATTAATCCTAAATACTGACTCATAAATTGTGAAAATCATAAATCCAAACTGAAGAAGAATAGTGGAACACCGGCATTAAATTTAGTATGATAGATTAATTGAAGATCAATGTTACCAATTACTGGAAACACTTGCGTAAAACCATGAAAACTGAAGAAGTGTTAAACGGTATACTAAAACAATACTTTAACTGTAACATCAATGAAGAAAAAGACAAGGAGAAAAACTTGCAAAAAACCATAAAATTTGAAGAGTGTGGAACGGAACTCTAAAGACATACTTTAACTGTAAATCCAATGCAGGAGAAATAGAGGAAAAACATATGTCAGAATGTTGAAACTGGAGAAGTGTTGCACGAAACCCTAAAGTTATACTTTAACTGTCATACGAATAAAAAACAAGTAGAGGATAATATTGCAAATGCTGAATATGAGACAATCTAAGAATCTAAGATTATTTAGTATAAAGTTTTACCATACTTTTGCTATAGAGGATATCTGTAGAGGATATTGTTGCTAACGTATCCGTATTCAGTATATAATTCAGTATTGTTCATCTTGATGACTAATTAAACGTACATAAAATTAATATTCATTTCTTGTAAGAGACATTGCCCCACTGTTTTCTGTACCGAATTCTACTTGAAAGTAAAAAATAAAATATTCAAATTGATCGCTTTTCAGGTTTGCATACCAAAAAGTACATTTTAATGAAATCGAAAGCTTATTAAAACCAAAAAATTTGGAACAAAGCCGGCATAAAATAAATTTCAAATCAGAATTTCACAAATACACTGCAACAAATTACCATTTAATATTTACCTTAATGCCAGCACTTTGCAGTGTTATTAAAGCCAATTAGAAATTATGAGACAGCCGCGGTATTAATATGAAGACATTTTGCATTTGAAGACGTGGCTCAACGTATCGAATCGAAACTGGTTACCAAAACCCAAAAGAATCTGGAACAACACAAAATACATGGATGGATGTAAGAGTAGTGGAAGCAAGGAAGGGAATAATGGCACCACAATAAATGAATAAAGTCACGTTTTGTAGCAAACACAAGCGTGACCAATGCCGCATACTAAGCGCTACTAAGCGATACTAAACGCGTTGCGTCTTACGGTTTTGCTATGAAAACGGTTAGAAGCGATCAACGCAGACAACAACAAAAATAGGACATTCACTCCCAAAATTGTGTGAAGCAGCGCTTTTGGCTTAAAAATGCGGATACGAATGCGGACGATTATGAAGGGCGTTACGAGCGCCCAAATACAGACATATGGACACTTCCCTTTCGTTTGGAGTAATGCAATGTGCGTACGTTTATTAAATTATGGCATGCCGAGAGTGAATGGGACGGACGGCCGGGCCAGGCAGGTTGGTCAATTCATACAAGGCAGGTGCCAACAATGGCCAAATAAGTTTCTTGCAAAGCAATTATGGGTAAGAAATTGTCATTTCGTAAGTGTCTGGTGACGGAATTGAAGATACGAAATGACACATTAAACGAACTGAATTTGAATTTTATTTAATATGCAACATTGTTATTGTTGTTGCCAGTGTAGTTGGTGCATATGTAATATGTACTTGTATATATGTGGGTAGTTTTTTGTTATTGCTTGGAATTGATTTCTAGTAAAGAAATTGGTAGAAATTGGGAACTGTAGAAATTGAGCTTGACAATCCATTCGCCTGTCTGAAATATAAATAGACCTGTTAACCACTTAATCAAACACAAAACACTTCCAACTATCAAAGCCAACAAATCGAATTGGTGCTTTAGTGCTTGGTGCAAAACGAACGGATTAACGCTTAATTAATTTTAATTAAATAATAAATTCAATTTTAATTAAAGAAATCTTAATAAATTTAAAAATATCTGCCAAAATGTGTACAAAATTCGTGTATGTTGCGCTTATTGCCGCTTTTGTGTGCACTGCCGCTGCTCTGCCCTCACAGGATAACAGTGAAAAGGATTTAGTGAATATGATTAATAGAATCGATAATGAAGCATCGGTGCCATTATTTGGTGGTTTACGCGTGGATCGCACTGAAAGTGGTCGCTCTTTCGGTGCTGCCAATGGCATTGAATCATTCGAGGAACGTGCCGAACGTTATTTACAAACCCATGAACTGAATATTTCATTCTCAGGAGATGATGAAGAGGATAATGAAGAGGAATTCAATGGACGCAGCATGGAAGGTAAGTCGTACCGTTCATTTTTATCTGTGTTTAATTATGTCTTAATGAGTTTTAATTATTAGAAAAGTTAATAGTGTCGCAAATATTCTTAATTTTTATAATTTAATTGCTTAATATCAAAAATTTCAATGGCAAAGATACTCTTATTAGTACTACATAATATGATTTATTATTTCTGATAAGCTTAAGCCGTTGTAGTGCTTTACGCATTCAATCCATTACCATAATCCGCTCGTTCTTCAGTTTACTTTTCTTCTATTCGCACAAACTGCACTTTGACTCGCACATAATTTTGCAATCTTCCATAACTGTTCAGTGAGATTACATTCGGCATTGCTCAGATTCTAACAGATTCTGGCCAGCACAACTGTTGCCATTGCAGTCGTCGAAGACTTGGCAGAATACGGAAATTTTTTTGCAGTCAAATTAATGCAATAAATCTTGTCTGTGCCTTTAGCAAAGATTCTGTAAAATGTTTCTATTTTTAAACTAAGAATTACAGAATTATAACTGAACTTATATCAGTGGAGTAGTTAAAGGGGACATTTAGAAAGCGGAGGTCTATATTGACACTGCACTATAAATTTAAAATAAAACCCTAGACTTGATACATCCTCTGTATGACTAATATTCTAAAGAAATATAACTCACATTAATAAGATATTATTCATTTTATAATAAGAAATAGGGGAGAGAAAGAAAAAAAGTTTGAAGTTGACCCCACTGTTTTCGAGTTATTTTTATTCGTTTCATATCGATATATAAAAAATTATATTTAATTTTTTAATAATTTTTTTTTTACATTATATTTTATTATTTTATGTAATTATAATATTATGACTTATTTTATTACATTATATTTTAGTATTTTAATAAAAATTCTTCATTTATAAACATGAACGCTATCTTCATCTATAGGTATATAATCCGACATACCTGGCTCATTAATATCTATTTCTATTTTTCGGTTTAATTTTTTTTATTATTATCCTGTTATGAGGCTTTCTTAATTTAAAATATAACATATTTATTTCTAACATATATTTATTTTTCTTTTTTTTTATTTTTTTTACTACTCCCTATCCCTCCCTATCTTTACTATCCCTACTTTAAAATAACATGTTTTTAGTTCTCTTCGCATATTATTTAACTTTATTTGTTTTTATTATTATTATACTATATTATATGTCTGGTAAAATATAATAATAACAGTCTTAATCAATATTATTAATATTATTATTTAATATAATTAATTCTACATCTTGTGTTTCATATTTTTAAATACACCCATCTCTACTTTATCATTATTTTTTTTTTATTTCTCAACTACTTTGATGTATATAACCTCTTTTTACTTTTGTAGTTATTGCCTATAGATCTTATTTTTTTATTCTTTACAACACCCATTTCTATTTAATATTTATTCTTTCTCTTCTAACTTTTTTGATACATATATTTTTTTTTTAATTTTTATTTTTAATAAACACATTTTTTTTTATTTTTTTTTTATTTTTCTTAAATATTATCTGTACTAATTTGTACTATCTGTAAGTCTGTACCTATCTATACCTTCTCTCCTTACTTTTTTTAACCAAATACCTTTATTTTAGTTTCATTATATACCTTTTATATACCTCATACCTTTCCTTTTTAATTCTTTTGGTATTATGTATATATCTGACTTTCCATAAGTTATAATAATTTATTTTTATATTAATTTATATCAATTTATATATTAATTATTCCATTTAGTTTTTCCTTCTACTCTAATATTTCTTTCTATATATTATCATCCTTTATTTCTCTTCTAAATGCTTTGTTCAAGACATATTTTTAATTTTTTTTATTTTTAATATATACATATTTTTTTTATCCTTAAATATACCAATCTCTACTTTCTCACGTTACTACTTTAATCAATTAATATCCTTTATTTTTATTAAACCTTTATTTTAATTTTGCTGTCATTATTTATCATTATTTATCATTAAGTCATTATTTATGTAAGTCCATACATAAATTACTTATTATTTATTAATATTATTATTCTCACCATAAAAACTTCATTGATATATAGGGATGTATTACATATTTTGGTATCATATTTTTATTATCCTGTATTATTCCAGTTATTCTTTTTATTATTAATTTTTATATAATTAACTTCTTATAAATTTATTTTATAAAACTGACTATTTTACACAAAAATGGTTGTATATATTAAATTTTATTTCAATCCTATTAAATCTTTTATATTAAATGCAGTTCCATTAGTACTTATATATCCATAATAAATAAAAATGTTTACTTCTGTTTCTCCTCCTCCGGATAAATTGACTATCATATTATAATAATATACAATAATAATAGAAGGGCAATGATAGTAATAATAGAACAAACACTGTCAAGAAAGACAGAATCTCAACTAAATTAATAGTCATTTAATAAAGCAAAATATAAAATAGAATATATAAAAATAAACAACTAAAATTAAATAAAGAATAAATAAAATTTAATAAGCCATACTCTTTAAAAAGAATATAAGCAATATAATAAAAACCATCTCCTCCACTGTATTTCAATGGACAGACAGATAATTGCTTACGAGCGCTGGATTTAACACAACAAAAAAGCAAAACGGACTGGAAACACTCACATCTGCACATATTTAAACATACTTTCCGGCACATTCCATTCCGGTTAACTCGTTGTTGGGATTTAAAAAAAACACCCAGCTCTGGTAAATGGAAGAGTGGAAACACTTAACCATTGCGTCACTTTTCTATTGCTGAGTTCAACATTTTCTGACAGCGGAAAAAATATTTTCAAGTGCCGGCGTGCATTGTTAAACGGTAGCAACGCCTAAAAGCGTACACGGATTTCCTTGCTTTTAGCAGATAAAACTTTTTATAGCTGCTTTTTCTTCACTTGACAACTAAAAACTAAAAGGACTAAAAGGACTAAAATAGTGTTGATACCTAGTGTTGTTGCTCCTGATTGTGGTCGTTATGCGAAAAATGGCTTTTGAAACACTGTTTTTTGCTTTTAATTTTTTTTAAATATGAAGTTGGACACGTGCTTAGCATGATTTTGTCATGGGAATACGCTTTCATTTATGACTTTCTTATTTTAATTTTATTTTATTTTATATAATTTTGTGTTTTTATCTTAAATTTAGATATTTTTTATAAATGGCTTGTTTTGACAAAAATATTTTTATATTTTTCAAAGTTGGCAAGGTTACCAGAGAACTTTTAATTAAAATTTTTTATTTTGTTGCGAAGAGGAAAGGATAAATGAAAGAAGCTTATCGCTTTTAATGACAATGTTTTTTTAATTGCTTCTACATATATACTTTGTGCACTTCACATTAAGTGCTATATACATTTTTTATTTTGAAAACATTCTGAAACAATTTTTTTTTAACAAAAGTCCAACAAACTCCTATAAAAGGATTATTCTTTAAATCCTTCAATTCATGTTTGCATTATCTTTTACTTCAGTTTAAAAATTTATTTTCTTTATTTCATTTATAATTAATTGTTTTAATGACCAAATTTTATTTATATATTTTTGCACTGGTTAATTGGACAATGTCAAGTAATATCCAACTCATTTATTAATAGGAATTTCTGTTGTTAAATAAAACTTAATTTTTTTTTCTAATTTTATTTAGATTTGTAGTAAAATAAGATTTAATTAACTCCACTTTTTTATAAAATTTTCTAAATTTAGTTATTTAGTTGTATTGGTTTTTTATTCTAAATGTTGAAGGTGAATAAATGTTAATCATATATCATATAAAAGATATAAAAACTGTCATCATTGATGTTTGCAATAAAAAAATTAAAATCCTACATTTAAACACTTATATAGATGCAATAGATATATAGATAGATAATAAATAGATAATTAGATAGGTAGACAGATAAACAGATGGATAGATAGATTATAAATAGATATGTAGATAAATAAACAGATAGATAAATAGATAGATGATAAATATATATATGATAAATATATATATAGATAGATAGATAAATAAATAGATAGATAGATAGATACATAGATAGATAGATAGATAGATAGATGGATAAATTGATATATATAGATAGATAAATGAATTGACAGATGAATAGATAGATAGATGAATTGACAGATGAATAGACAGTAAGATAGATACATATATGAAAGTGGGGCAGAAAAATGGATATATTTTAAATAGAGATAAAATATAGGGAAGTGGCGCACTTCAACGTATCGATCTTAAACACTGGACAAAACTGTAAGAAATACAAAGAAAACAATATTATTTTGAATTCCTTGCGAAATAAAAAGTAGAATTATTATTTATTTAGTACTTTGTTCAATTATAGGTTTTATATTCTTCACCAATAATTGAAATTTATATATCATATCCCTAAAAGTACAGGCAATGATTATTACAACAAATATAAATATTTCTACATTAAGACTTACTTATATTTCTTACACTTATTCCTCTTTAATTTAAAATTTTAAACTTTTTGTTAAAATTCTTCAACTTAAAAGTCATTTAAACTCTTCAAATTTTAATCGCTTTAGTTAGTTTAATATTCACATCAAGAACTTTTTACACGAATTTTGTGATTTTGAAAAGATATAGTTGGACTAAATTAGCTTTGTCGTGCATATCTTCACTGTTAACGGAAATGGATATCGATCATAAAACGTATAAATTTTGAGACCTCATAGATTGCTCAATAAATTTTACCTTTCATTGTGGAATATTACTTCGATCGTACTTTTAAGAATGGGGCATCACCCTATATCTAACTCTCAGTCACGCTTGCGATTGCCATTATGATTTATAAATGAAATCCTTGCATCTGAAATTTCGACTGACTAAAGAAATTTGAGTTTCCGTCTTACTTGGAAATTTTTCAATTTTGGAAATTAGAAAAAGGCCGTATTAGATGAGCTAATATTTGACATATAAATCTACAGTAGTTTGAGAACTTGGGAGACACATTTAAAAATACGTGACTAAAGTACTGTCTGAGGTGCACACCCAACGTTAAGTCACATAATGTTTAAATATCTTCTTTTTATTATTTATTCACATAAACAAAGACTTAAACATATCCAGTCTGAAGTAAAATTTGAAGTAAATACTTGAAAAAAATTCACTGTCTCCAGTTGAGATACACAAATACCAAAAATTAATATAATAAATTTATGAAAAAAATTGCGGCTGTAAACTAAATTGTTTAAGGCAAACCTTTGCCTATAATGCAGCCAAGTATGTTGCCTAATGCAGCATAAATTCACAGAAAAAATGATGGAAAAAAAACAAATTTAAATAAAAAACGCAAATAATTTATAAATAAATAAATTACCAAAAAAAAAACAAAAAAAATAAAAATTTTAAATGGAAAAAGAAAAAAACTTTCGAATTTCACGCAATTATGTTACCAATAGCGTTCAGAAAGCAACGACAATTCAACAACAACAACAACAGCAGCAACAACTGCAACAACAACAAATAATACCAACAACAACAAAATTAATTTTGCAAAGTGAAATTTTCATAGATGCGAGCACGTACGATTGAGTACCCGGGCCAGATGATACACGCACATTCATACCAGCGTATGCACGTACACGCACTGAGCGGAGCGACGCATTATGACAGCCAAAAAGATTTCGGTTTCGGAATTGTTTGTGCTCGGGAAGCCAATAGGCGAGGCCGCACCCTTAAAAACAAATACCAAAAAGCGTTTAAGATATTTTCAACTACGATTTTGGCTCATTGGAACGCAGGCGTGCGGCAATGCGTTATCAAATGGTCTGGTTACTTTTACGCATTTTGGCCATTTAGCGAGCGTTTAAGCCATCAAGAATGTTGACCATAATTTCTTCAATTTTTTTCTTTTTTTTTTCCTATGAACCTTACAAGGCACTTTTATGGCACTTGTTTGGTGCGAAGTGGAAAGTATTTCATATTTCACACACAAGAAGTTTATCACTTTTATTGCCTTCGTAAAAGGGTTTTATGGGCAAACAAAGTCCAAAGTTAAAAGTTGAAGAGTTTCAAATGAAAATGTATGTGCATGTCGATTTCTTGATAATGCATGAACTTCACTTTAAGAATTTATGAGTCGGAAAACTTGCCACTTTAAAAATTAATTCCAACAAATTAAAAAAAAAATATTTTTTCTCTTTACTCTGCAAAATTAATATGAACTTCTCTATTGTACAAGTTCTATAAAGGTAGAAACTTTTAAAGTAAAATTCCTTATTTTCTTCATAAAACTCTTAAATTTCGCAATAAAAGCCCTAAACTGAAATAAAATTTTAAGGAAAGAATTTTTTCACTTTCTTTTGAAAAATCTTTAAGATATTTTCTTCATTCTTGCAAAAAGAAAAATTCAATAGAAGGCTTAAAACTACCACAATACAATTCACATTTCTCGTAGACTCATACCTAAAGTCTCTCGTTATACTTATACCAGCCTTTCTATGATAATTGAAATGAAATTATTTATATACTTTTTTTTAGTTTTATTTTTGTAAAACAAATATCAGATTTTTTTAAGTCACGAATTTAGAACCCTACAATTTATGTAGTGCAGACACCCGCAAAATTCATTCACCGAGATTAATGTCAGAAATAAATTCAGTATGCCCAATACTATATAAATTCAAGTTATATAGATGACGTAGATGAAACTACCATATAGATAAATGCTATATAGATAAATGCTATATAGGTAAATGCTATATAGATAAATGCTACATAGATAGATGCTATATAGATAGATGCTATATACCTAGATAGATGCTGTACAGAAAGATCCAATGATATATAAATATATAGATGCAATACATTTTAGTAAAGACTAGCACGTAATAACAAAATAAATTTTAAATTTTGATTTAAATGTTTTTATTTTATTATTTTATTTTGTTACAATTTTATTAATAGTAAAAAATGATTATGAATAAAATTATAATAATATTAATCAAATATTAATCAAATAAATAAAATGATTTAGTATCTTATAGCATATATATGACTGCTAAGGTATCGATAGGTAGTTCCTTTGCAAGTCCGGTAACTGGAAATATTACGGTGCTCTATTTATTTCTTTGAGCGCTTAAAATTAACTTAACTTAAGACGTTAAAAGTTGGAAGCCTAGTCATAACTAACGCAGCTGTACAAGATTGGACGCAGTATTTGTATAAAAACAGTCAATTAATTCCTGAAGCTAAACTTATATGCATTTAAAAGCGTTCGGAGGTGCTATCCGAAGTTAATTTTTTAAAACCAAACCCATTTGTGTGTTGGGTGTTGTTCATACTTTAAAAGTTAACTTTTTTTTTATTTGTTTTTATTGAAAATTTTATTTACTTAATATATATTTTATTTACATTTCCATGTTCTTCACTGCATTAAAATTTCAATACATGCTTTTAGGCAGCCGTATACTCGAAAGCTTCTATTTAAGTTTTCATAAAGCCAAACAATTTCATAGTCTAATAAATAAAGTTTGGACATATACTGAAGCATACTTTTAAGATGATTTAAATTTGTTCATATTATCTTAAATTTAGTTCTAGATAAATTGCTTAATAATTATTATTTAAATAAGAAAATAAGATAAAATAAAATAATAAAGTAGAAAAACAACAAAAATATAAGCAGACACATAAAAAAATCAGTACAATGAAATTTAATTAATATATTTAATTAAAATGAAAGATAAGAAGTTAAAAAAATTTGAAAAAAAAATAAAAGCGATTCAAATAAATAGTTTAAAATTATATAAAATAAATTAAAGAATGAAACTGTGAAATTAAATCATATTATATTAATCTTTACATTAAAATAACAATGAACAGATAAATTAAGCGAATTAAGGGCAAATAATACAAAATATGAATAATATGAAATAATATATAATTTAACAATGTTAAATTAAATTATATTAAATAAAGTATAGCATAAAAAATAAGGTAAGAAAAAGAAAAACAATATAAAAATAAAATAAAAATAATATATAAATAAAATAAAAATAAAATAAAATAATTAATTGAAATTTAATTAATTCAATTCAATTAAAACTATTTGGCATTGGATTAAAATGAATCACATCGATTAAAATAAAACATAATTAACTAGATCTTTTCTATGTTAAAGAACTTGGCTTAGTGGTTGTATTGGCGATAGAAGTTCCTTTGCTCAGCATTATTTATCGTAGCGTAACTGTCGTCAAGCACCTAAAGATAAATACAAAATGTCTAATTGCAAGCAGCAATAGTAATATATCTTACTCACATCCAATATAAGAATAAACAATAACATAAAATAATAATAAAAGAATATTCCTTTGATAAATATATTTGGATTATCTACTAGTATTATTAGATTATAATATATACCAGAAGTTTACCAAATATCTTAATCAGGGGCATTAAAATATAGTTTAGGACTTAAGCTTTAATTTAAAGTATTAAAGTAAATTAACTATGTAAATAATAATAATAATTAATTTAAACATAATTCTATCTCCTCTCTTACAGAATCACGTAAAAATAGAATGAAGAAAATGTTGGTTCCCTTGCTCTTGGCTTTGAAATTGAAGAAGGCCATCGTTGTTAAAGTTTTGTTCACCATCATTAAATTTATCTCCCTCAAGAGTTTGGCAATTTCCTTCTTGGCTTTAATCTTGGCCGGTAAGTCACTAAAATTTATTATATATAATAACTACAGTTAACGCTTTGGTTTCATTCCTCACAGGTGCCACTTTCTTCAAAGATCTTTTGGCTAAGAAGAAGGAACACATTACCACTGCTTACATTACCGGCAGCCCATTGAATGCTGAAATCGTGCACTCTGACTGGAACCGCAATGGTCAAGCTGCTGCTGCTGATTTAGCCTACAATCATTATGGTTTGGCACAACCTTTCTAAAGGACCACAGTATAAACTAACTTAGCTTCTTACTTCCTCTGCTACTACTCAACTATGCTCTTATCTTATTCTACTGCCTACCACTATTTACTATTTATCTTCACTTAAAAAAGAATGACTAAATAATTTTATTAGTTTTAGTTTTAATTTTAGTTAGTAAACTACGACTTACCAAATAATATGAGAAACGCAAACAAAGTAAACGACTTGGATTATCCTCAGGACAAAGCTTAACGAATTAATGCATAAATTTATTTCATTTAAATTTGTGTAAATAATTTATGAAATTATTTATTTTATTTATTTTAAAGCAAGCATAAAACAAATCATAAACGAGTCATACCAAATTAATTTTAAGTTGAATAAGCAAAAGAATTGCACAAAAAATATCCAAAAAATTGTAAAATATTATAGAAAAAATACAATTTTAATTAAAAAAAAGTTGCACTCAGGTTTAGTTTGGAGGGCTATGGCACCTCTCCGATTAAATGTAAATTATTTCTATTTAAGAAAATTTTGCACTCAGGTTTAGATTTGCAGGAGAAGGGGAAGGAGGTGCCAACTCTGCTATAAAGTGAAAATAATTTTGCACTTCAACTTTTCATTAAATGAAGAAACAACTACAAATGTGTCATATATTTCATCCCAAAAAATAAAAAACAATTTAAATAAATTAATAAAATATATTATTTATAAGTATTTATTTAAAAATAAAAAGCAAAGAAACAAGAAAGCAATTGAATAAAAATAATTCATGAAATTAAAAAAGTTTTCGTTTTCAATTAAAGTTCCACAAAACTCACTCGAAGAAACCTAAGAAAAGAACAGGAAAGCCAAATGTCGTCTTCAAAACACAAAGTTGATGAAAATTTGAAAAAAAAAAACAATAAAAAATCAATTAAAAAATGTCAACAAATTCTTCAAGTTTTAAATAAAATTCCTGGGTTTACTGCTCCAATTACTAATGAGCATCACCGACTGAACACTTACTTCTTCAGAGCGACTTCATCCGTAGGCCGAAGAAGTGAAAAAGTTCAAAACTTCGCGGTTTTATTTGTTAAATTAACTTGTCTTTGGCACTAATGACTTTAAAAAATTAAAGTTTTTCCCAATAAATTTGCTTTTAAGTAAAAGTAAGAAATTAATTAACTCAGCACCGCCAACTGCCAAAGCAAAAAACATTCATTCATAAAAGATTCTGTTTACTTTTCTACTCGAAAGTAAAAAACTTCAACTTTAATGCTGTTCACTTTTTATTTCCAAACATCTTTTAAGGTTTTTTTATTTAAATAAATAATATCTTATTTTGAAAAAGCAAATCGTAAATAATTACACATTTTAAGCAAAAAATTGTTTACAATTTTACTATTAAGTTCCCATGAATCAAGAACCACAAACAAGTAGCTTTAAACTTAGTTTAATAGTTCCATAATATCATAATATCTTATTTAAATATTATTTTTTATAATACGATATTTAAATTAACGTATTTAGTTCTGTCTAAAATTTATTAACATTTATTATTATAATTCATAGAATAATTTTTTCTAACGAAAAAGAAACTATAGTGGAACAGTTCGTTAATAGTTTTAATAGCTTTCTAATTTTACTTAATGTTGTTTATGATAATAACGTTAAGAGTATAGTAAGAACATCTTGTAGTGTCCAAAATTTGTCCAAAATTTGTCCAAAATTTGTTCAAAATAAATAATTGATACTTAATAATAAAATGAACTACAACAAAGTAGTTCGATATCGGTTTAATGGTTTTACGGTTATATAAAATTCTATTTAAATATTATTTACAATAAAATAATAATTTAGAAAGAGTACTTCTTATAAAAGGATAGTACTTGTAGTAAGAACATCTTGCATCTTGGAGTGTCCAAAATTTGCTAATTGATACTTAATAATAAAATAAACTATAACAAAGTAGTTCCATAATCCGTTTAATGGTTTTACGGTTTTGTAATATTTTATTTAAATATTATTTACAATAAAATAATACTTAACAAAAAATATTTTCAAAACCTATTATTAACTTATAACCCCTTACAAACAAAGAACTAGTTTCATAATTGCTTTAACAGTTTAATAACAATTTATTTTAATGTTCTTAAATGTTTAATGTTATTACTTAATTATTTATAATTACTATTTATAATTATTATATTTAATAATATTTATTTAATATATTTAAATTTAATTATTTATAATTATTACAATTAATAATAACACTTATAGTGCCTATAGCAAAAAGATATCACTCTCTCCAAAATTCATCCAAAAAAATTAGTTATTTATTTATTGGCTCATAATTTCTGATAAGAGATATCGACAATATAATAGTTATTTTTTATATATTGTATTGCTTTTATAAGTACATATATTGATTATAGTAGTTACATATTATATTATTTAAAATTTTTCCAAAAAATTAATAATGTGTTAATTAATGTAAAAAAAACCACAACAAAACAGTTCGATAATAAGTTGAATAGTTTTACAATTAAATAATATTTTATTTAAAAATAATTTATTATAATACAGTACTTAAATTGAAATATTTTAAATACCTGTCTAACGTTAATCCAAAAACAAAGTTAATTCCCATAAAACAATTCATTAAAAACAGATGTTATTCTGTCCAAAATTCATCCCAACTTATTAATCAAATTTATTATTAATCAACTAATAATTTATTGACTCACAATTTCCGATAAATACGACTACAATAAAATATATATTGAGTGAGTTGAGCAGAAGTTGTTTGTTTGATGAAGAGATACAATCCATCAAACAGTTTCTTTACCAGTGACTATCGTCGAAACGACTCTAATTTAAAGGATAGTGTTTCCATACTGGTGTGGTACAGATAAAGAAACTAGACTCATCGGATCTTCTTAACCTCATGTGGTTGATCTGGGAAAATATGTAGTTTAACAAGGATGGTACATGATAATAATGAAGGTCAGTGTAACTTGCCTCTTACTGCCAAATCAGATGCATCACAATGGATAATAGATCTCTTCGAGCGGAGGTGTTGCGAGTTGTAGAAGCATACGCCCAAAATAAAAATTTAATAATAGGTAATTGATTCTAGATAGATGATTACAATTTGATAAGTTCATCTAATAGTCGAAATATCTTCTTAGTAATCCCTTTAAATTGTCAAACAAAACTTTTGATTATCCAAGTTTTTTAAGTCAAGGTTTATTTGTCTTAATTCTTATACGAATATCATTCTAATCAATTCATTTTCGAATTCTATTTATTGCGTAAAACTTCTAAAAATGTAGGTTAAAACTATTTCTCTCAAAATACTTCCAATAAGATAACCTCGAAAACTCTTCATTACGAAACATGTAATTATATTTGAACCACTAAAATTCTTCAAATTACCGAAATGTATTCTTGAGACGCCTTTAAAGTTAAAACTTTTAACTTTCGTTCACAATTTCAACTCCCTCCCCACCACCGAAAGTAATATAAATTATTTAAGAGCTTGGAATAGCAGAAGAAAATAGTTTCAAGTTACGAAATGAAGTACAAATTGGTCAAAACTAAAAAGTTGTCAGCGGCAGTTAAGATGACTTCATTAAAGTGTCATTCTGAGTTTTGGAACTTTGACCGCAGCTCTTAAAGCAGCAACATAGAAGTTAAAACTCAGATCATAAATTGTATCTTGTCAGAGATTTATGGAAACTAAAAACTTACTTACAGATACAAAATCACTTAGAAAGAATTCGAATTGTCTGCTCCGCACGGAAGCAGAGCTCAATTCTCTCAGCGTCTTGGGCTGACAATTGAAGCGTTTAGAGACGCTCGCATGCATTATGAGACACGCGACATTAGCCGTGGACATGTAATTACGCATCTTCACTATTTTCTCAAATTAATTTTATTATAATTAACTCTGCATTTGTTGACAATACTTTTGTAACTTTTTTGTTCCGTAGTTCTGAAACGATTTCTTTGTCTGGTTTGATTTATGCGTGTGAGCCGATGTAAGGGAAAGTGCCATTGGGGCGTAGCGCACAGCTTTCATTTTCAGTTTCATTCATGGACAAAAGCGTCTCCTGCTCTGGCTACCAAATACCAAATACATCAAGAAAGCCTATTGGACTAAGTATCTACAATTGTGGCGTTAATGATATTTGCGGTATATTTATGTACACCTGAGTAATTTTGGTAATGTCTTGTCCGCACCGCTTAAGTGATTCTATCAGATACAAAGCCCAAAGAGAGCGATTTAAACCACAAATCAAAATTTCTTTGTGACCAAATTTTATACAATATTTTTGTGTTAAGAAAATTTGTAGTTTTAATTGTTGCTCGATTATGCTCAGTAAGTACTGCTGGGCTGCGATGCGGCGGTACTTCGGTGCTGCGGTACTGCGGTACTGCGGTGCGGCGGTACTGCGGTACTGCGGTGCTGTTGCGGCTCATAGAGTTGCAGTGAAAGGGAATTTGGGAATTTGAGAAAATCGAAAAAAGCTTAGCCAAGCAGAAGCAGAAGTGAAAAATGTATCTGTCTGAGTTAAACCAAAATTTTCTTTTTCAATTTCAGCTGCCATTCTGCCATTGCAAAGTAATTAATGCGATATAAAAACAAAGTTCATTTGAATATTGTGCGATAGTCTGGTTTCTAGCATTTAAGCAAACAGTTGTGTACTTCCGAATTTTCAATCAAAAATTTTCAACAGAATTTTCTGCCAAAGGATGCTGCCATTTAAAGTCTTGGAATATTTGTGCTATTTAGTCATTTTTATTTTAATGTGCAAGTTTTCGGATGCAGCTAGCATAGACTTCACTGAAACGAGCACAGTGGCGACACCAACTGCAACTACATCCGCTGCTCCTACAACTGCGAACACACAGAGTAGCCGAAAACCCGATACCATGAAGCGGGCCTTTGGTGAATGTGATACTGGTTTCAGTTGGATGTGCTTAAAAGTGGAGTTTGTCAAACTCATTGAACGTTTAGGAGAACAAGAAGAACTGCGTCTCTTGCCAGGAGTTAGTGTCGTTAAGGACACAAATGTAACTGAACTAAAAACTGCGGATATGATGGCTGGTAAGTAATAAGAGTCGAACCATAGTTAATTATTTTTGTAATTTTAATTACTTTTCACTTGTTGAAAAAATATACAAATTGTTTCCTGCTGTTTACTTACATTGTTCACAATGTTTAGTGATTACTTTTCCATTTTGATCAGAATTCTCAATAAAATTTTTAATACTCTATTAAAGTGCACTCAAAGTTTGTTAATTGCTATTGCAATTATCTAAGACTATATTAATATGTGGGCTTCCAAGATGATGTGTTTTAGTTTTACTTTTTCATTTAAAAGTTTTTGCAAGAATTCTATATAAAATGCAAGATTTTCTAATCTCTTTACATAACAGACCTTTATATAAAAAACTTTTGTATGAATTTATATATGAAAAATATTAAAAGAAAATATTTACAGAAGTAAACAGCTCCCTGTAACGCAAAGCACTGCAACCATAGTAGGTCTTTTGTGCTCCAATTAACTCTAACCCAACAGACGGCACCAACCTGAAGAGTTATTCTGAAATAAAGATCAGAGTAATCCTCGTTGAAGAGCATCTAACATCATACAAGTAGGTCTTTCGTGCACCATGTAAGTCTTTTGTGCTCCAATTAACTCTAACCCAACAGACGGCACCAACCTGAAGCATTATTCTGAAGTAAACATCAAAATAATTCTTGTTGAAGAATATCGACCATCACACAAGTAGGTCTTTCGTGCACCAGAGTTAAGATCTGAAGTGAAGATCAGAAAAATCTTTGTTGAAGAGTACTTAACTTCATATAAGTTCTCAGGGTTTTCGTGCTCCATAGTAGATCTTTTGTAATCCAATTGACTCTAATCCAACAAACTGAATTCAACCTCTATAGTGAAGACTAGAATAATCTTTGTTGAAATGTATCTAACATCACAAAAAGTCCTAGTAGGTCTTTCGTGCTCCATAGCAGATCTTTTGTACCCCAATTAGTTTTTACCCAATAAACCGCACTCAACCTTTGGAATGAAGTTTAGAATAATCCTCGTTGAAGAGTATCTAACATCAAACAAGTTATTTGTACGTCTTTCGTTTAACACCAACCCAACAAACCACACTGAACCTCTATAATAAAGGCCAAAGAGATAATTTTTGAAAAGCACGTAATATCGCAAAAGATTAAAAACACTCTTGCTCCGTGGTTTCATTCCTGGCCCAAAGCAAAATCATAAAAAAGTATTTAAAAATATAATTGCCCTAATAGGAAAAACATTATCTGTCACTTCAGACAGATCCATTCTGTTGAGCCCGTAATGCTGATCAAAATATCTATTACAAAAACTTATTTTTAATATATTCTATTTGGTGTCGTTAACTTTTCAAAGTTTTTGTTTTGTTTTTTTAACACTGCTTGGTTTAATAGCTGACGCTATAAACTAAATGTTCAAATTTTATATAAAGTCTATTTCTTACCTAAACATATTGCTTAGGATCCGACGTTAAGTAAATGGTATTAAATATTATAACTGTATTTAATCTAGTTTTAAAGTCAATTATGATGATGGAACCATTTTCTTAATAGAAACTATTATTTTAATAGAGAATTTTTTGAACAGTAGTGAATTAAAACAACAAAATTATTATTATTTTTAATTAATCGAATTTTTGACTGACTATAGACCTATTTCAAGTATTGCCAAGAATTACCCATCATCAGTTATCTTATGGAATTATTTTCTTATATTTAATTATTAAAAAAAATTTTTTTTTGATACTACAAGTACCATTTGTTGAACTTGTACTCTGCCAAATTTGTATGTCAGCTTCAATTTTCATTATCCACTGACCCAAAGTCGTAATTGTCATGCATATTCTAACTATGGTAATTTTCGAATTATTGAATATAAGAAATATTTCCAAAAAGGTAACTAATGGTGGATATTTAGTAATACTTGGAACAACTTAATGGACAGCACAAAATTGAATTAATAAAAAATAATGAAATTTTGTTGTTGTTACTCACTACTGTTCAAGAACATTTATATTATAACTTTATGTTTTAATTTTTAATTTTTTTTTCATTAATGTCTACATAAATTAAATAATAAAGAATTCAAATTAATTCATAAAAATAGACTCCATTAACAGAAATATAATCTTTTCAATTCTTTACAAAGATTATGGAGTCAAACTTCCAAAACTCGAACTTCTATAACTCGGACTAAATAGAGTGCAACAGGGTTAAGAGAGAAAATTACTTACAATTTTCAAAAAAAATTCTTCAACTCAATGTCTCCATGAGTAGAAAACTTTCTTTGCAAAATGGTACTTCTAGTTATGGAAGTTTGACTGTAGTTCTATGACAAACTTCATTATTGGACTAAAATTTCTTTTCTTAGACTACCCTTTTGATATAGATAAAAGGAATAGGTAATAGGTCGAATAGGTAATTATCGCTGAATCTAGTTTAGGGACTATGACGAATTTTCTATTTTAAATATAATTTAAAGTCGTGTTACATTACTATAGTGTACATAAGAAAACTCTATCGGCATGGCAATGCAAGGTTGCAACAACTGCTCCCTGGTTTCGTGATTTCCAGATTGATGCAAATACTTCTCATACCAGCTTAATGTGACGATGAAGTATATTCCAACAATTCTAATTAAATTTTTTTTATCTTTTTTATATCTTTTATTTTATTTTTCTCTTTTTTTCTTAACTGCTTATTGATTTTAAGCAAATAGAAACGAATAAAAGTGCGGGGTGGAATTTTTTTCGCTAGTCCTTTCTTGAAATGCACCAATAATCAACCCAACATAATATGTGTTATTCATTTTTTTTGTATTTTCGTAGGTCATCCGACAATATAAGATCACAAACATAGAGACCAAAATTTACTTTGAATCAGTTTATAGACTTTTTTCCACTTAATTAATGCCATATAACATACAGTAAACTATTTTGATAACACCATTTCCGTAATTTTTATTTTTTTATTTTTTTTGATTTTCTAGAAGTGGCGCGGAACTATCCAAATGATCCTAGCTCACGTCTAAATGGTTATATTGTTTCCAAATTAACCAATTTCTTACAGACTCGCATGTTGCGTTTCAAATTAATAGACAACAAAACAGTGGCAGAATCGAGATCAGCAGTAGAGACTGGACGCAAAAAATTCGGCAAAAAAGGGGGACTAGAAGCAATTATAGCTGCAGGTCTTATGATGAAAGGTAAACACAAACCTATAAATAACATTAACTAACAATGATAACAATAAATTTTTTGCTTCCACATTATTTTAATTATGTTATTTACTCTATAATTCTAAGGTACTCTTATGGCAGTTGGCATGGGTGCAATAGCTCTGATGGCTGGCAAGGCCTTAATGACGGCTTTAATGGCACTTACATTGACCAGTGTGCTAGGCTTAAAAGCTTTAGCTAGTGGAGGTGGAAAATCTACAACCTATGAAATCGTAGCGAAACCAGTTTATACTTCCAGTCACTCCCATTCAGTACATGAAGAAGGCCATGGACACGGTCATTATGGGGGAGCGCACAGTGGTAGCGGCTATGGCGGCTACTCGCGTTCTATAAATGTAGAGATGCCAAATGAATTAAAAAACGAGAATATACAATAAACATTTGAAGAAATGGAACAAATTTTACATATTGTGAATTTTATAGTCATAAGATAATTTATTAATTAACATTATGTATACATTTTAAGGCATACTAATTTATTTATTGTATTTACTGTGTTTGTTTATAGCGTTTTACATGATAAAGTAGCAAATAATAAAAGCATGAAATTCAAGCGTATCAATGAAAGACTGTGGTATTATTTGCAATTAACACCTTTCATTCTTGAGATAGATCAGTTTGAATTTGCTTTTAATTACTCTAATGGCTTAATCCACTTTCTGAAGTTTTTTTTTAAATAGATTTTGTAAAAATTTAGCACTTTTCTGCGACAAAATTTCACCAAAACTTTTTTGACAATTTTTTTTACAAATTTTGGTTTTATATAAAAGCATCCAATTCTTCTACTGAGCTTAGTATTAATCGAATAATTTATTAAAACAGTAAAATTTTAATTAAAATGAAAATTTTGTTTGGTGCGAAATTAATTACAAGCATTTTTTTGCTAAGCTTGTGTCTTGTACATTTGGGATCTGCAAATGCTTCAGCCGTTGAGGACTCATCACATCAACTTGCTTCAGAGAGAGCTAGAGATCATCCACAACTTAATATAAAAAGGATTAAGCACAGGCGTAAGGTGTACCGAAGGCCTAACCATAAAAAACCAAAAAATAAGATTAAAAAAGTCAATGTGCAAGCGGTGAAACAAGCAACTGGGACAATTACAACAGATACGGGAGTAACTTCTCCTACAACTAGTACTGCTACTGGTACCACCCCCACAACTATAACAACAACATCGACAGCTGCTACCTCCACTACAACTAGAAGACCAACAACTCTGCCACCTTCGAAGCAATTTTTACTTCAGAGATTAATAAACAAGATCCGCAATAAATTCGGTGGTCAAAGCACTGGTATATTTGCGGATGAAACGAGAACTGCACAACTTAGAAGTCTACTAAAGATTGTGGATGAAGTACATGCAAACACATATGAGAGTAAAAGTTTTCATTACAATCCAGAAAAGGATAGTTCTTTAACTCAAGACTTCGAAGCAGACGAGTCAAATGAAGATGAAACAGAAAATAAACATAATACTAGAAAGGAACTAAAATCAAAAGTTCCTTGCTAATAAGAATAATGTAAGAAATTACATTTAATTTATTTAATTTAATTTGTTTTATTTATTATTATATTCTATTTTAATATTTAATAATTTATTTGTTTTAATTATTTACTAATAAAAAATATCATTTCTAAAATCTTTACATATAAATTGATTTGATTTATTTATATGATTAAATTTATTGTTTTAATATTTAATATTTTATTTTTTCAAATTATTGTTTAATAAGTTATTTGTTGTTGTTATTAGTTGGCCATTACAGACATGAGTCGTTCTTGGCTGCGGCGAGTAGCCTCCGCCAGTCAGCCCGATTAGTAGTTTGCTATCACCTGTTGGTAGTACCGAGCGCCCCCAAATCGTTGCTCACCTGGTTCTTCCAACGAAGATCAGGACATCCTCTACCGCGTTTATCACCTGCGGGTACCGAATCAAAAACCTTTCTAGCCGAAGCACTTTCTTCTATTCGCACGACATGACCAAGCCAGCAAAGCCGCTGAATTTTTATGCGCTCAACTATGTCAATATATCGGTATAGCTCATAAGCTCATTTAATAAGTTATATACTAAGCCTTTTATATATCTACATATATAAGAATGACCAGCAATAGTTTGGCATATAAAAATAACAAATTGATTTAAATATTAATTATTTATTTATGTTTTTCAATATATTATTAAAAGTTTAGGTATTTTAGCTATTATATTCAATTTTATAAATAAATTTTTATTAAATATTGTATTAAATATTGTATTAAATATTTTCTTTAATATATTAAAAAATTATTTATTAAATTTTTTATTTAAAAATATTTAAGTATTTTATTTATGTATAACAAACAATAACAGTTGAATACCATATTTCTTCTCTTTTTATCAATAACGTTTAATTATAAGAATTGCCTACTTTTAGGCACTATAAATACTTATTTTCACATAATGATCGTATGGGAGTATAGGAATAGAAAATCTTAAATTATAAATGTTAAATTTAAATATTTTCAATGTTTTTTACTTTTGACAGGACTTCAATTCGTTTATTTAACACTCGCAAATGACAACAAAACACTTATTAATATATAAGTGAACATATAATAGTAAATAATACTAGTAGAATAAACAATCTTGTTTTAATCTCATTTTAAACGATGTGTGCCCGGTAATATATAAAAAGTATTGATATATGGGTCGTTATAACAATTACTTATTTAAATATTTAAAAGTATTTAGTATAGAGTATTGCATTCATAAATTAAATGTATTCACGTTATCGAATCTCAGAATGGTTGCAGGCTCTTCGGAGAGGTATGCAAATCTAAGGTCAATTATTGCTTAGTGTAATGAAGTGATAAACAATAATCCAGTCAAGGCGTAAAGAGAAGTTTTGAAGATACCTCAAGTTAATAAAGAGTAAAAGTGCTTCAACATAAAAAAAAAGTAAGTAATAAGACTTAATTCAACCTAATACACTTAAAGCTAGTAGTATTATCGATACACAATCATCGACTACTTAACACTATCTGATGTTAACTATTCAGGTAGAATTATTTATACATAATGTATAGAGTTTGTTATATTCAGATTGTAGTGATTAATTAAGTAATCAGATAGAAAACTTCAATAAAAACTATATAATTGCATTTAATTTGTTATTGTTTTGGTGTAAAAACTATTTATTGCGCACTTAAAAATTTAACAGAATTGTTGTTGCCATGAATATTAATGAAATAAAAATTTGAAAAAATGAATTTCTTATATTTTTGTTAAGAAATAAAATAAAGCAGGACAGGTCTCAGAACTCATCGCCTTAGGGATCGAGAGTGGTATTCGAGCTAACAACATCTGGTTCAGAGCTCATTTCATGATCAAATTCAATACCGTCATCGAAACCATCCTCAACGAAAGTCACAGTATCATTGATGCGTACAGATTCTGGAAACTCGCCATATGCTTTAAGGTTCCTAGCCTCATCAGGAGTGTACTTCAGAATAACATCAGCCCTTGAATCTTGATATTCACGCAACCCAACCAATATAAAATCGCCTTGATTGATCCAAATCTATTAACATAAATAGGTATAAATACTTGTATACAATATTGTACAATATAATTTATTTGAATGCTCATTGAACTAACAATGATATTCATAAAGTTATATATGTGTATTAAAATTAAGAAATCGACTCAAATTATAAGTCTTAAGAAAGGATACTAATACTCTTTCCCTACTACTAATCAAGAATTCGATGAATACTATAAGTCTCTAAACAGGATACTGATACCCTTTATTCAGAAAGTGATCAATATTATAAGTTTTAAAGAAGGATGCTGATCTCCTTTTTCAACTACCAATTTAACTAGTACTACAGTTTGAGACTTTTTTAATTTCTACTTAACTATTTCTTATTTTACTTCAAATTTAGCTTTTAGAACTATTATACTAATCTAAATTAATCTAAAATAATTCATTGAAAGAACTCTTACCTTCTTGCGAAGTTTACCACGAATATGACACAAGCGTTTGACATTGTCAAAACACATAGCCTCCAAGTGACCACTACCAAGCATTTTGGTAACCTGAGCATACTCCTGCAAGTCCTCCTTGAAGACTAGTTCACGCTTCTCATATTCGTTTTCATTTTTACCACGACGGCGATTTTTTCCTCCTTTACCTTTGTTTTTCGGCATCCTGCAGTCCTGTGGTAATAATTGGATTCAGTTATATTTTGGACTGAACAGAATTATATGAAATTTGGAATATTATAGTATTTTGAAAATTACTATTTAAATAATAATTAAAATATAAAAACCTTTATCTTCATAAAAAAAAATGT